TGTCATGTCCTTTCAGTCATTCATTCATTCCTTTAGCGATAAAATCTCAGACTGAATTTGTATTTCATCTCCCAAAGGGAGTAGAAGCAATGGTTCTACCATCAGTTCAATGGTTTTCTGTAAGAATCAAGCTCTAGATTCTTAGCTGTAGAGATACACAAACAAATAATAGTAATAAAATACTGTTAATTTCAAGAGAGAGCTTCCTTTATGAAGTCTCTTCAATGCTATCAAGCATGAGTTGTTCTCTGGCAGCACCGATCCTGCCCTATGGGAATCTTTTTAATATATTTGGAAGATCACATGAGAGATGCAGAACACGAGCTATTTCTTTTTGACAGGCAAATGCATACAGCAGCTTGTTTGGGATGCATATCACAGTTCAAATTTTATCTCTGGAGTTCACATAAGAGAAAGTTTCATGAATAGACTCGTGAAAAAATGACTCAGAAAAATCCCTTACTGAGAGAATCAGTTACTCATAAAGTGCCATACCTAAAGCACGGTACACTTCAACATAATTATAGATCTTTCTGAATGTGTGCATGAACCATCAAAAAAAAATGTCACTTTTTCTTAGCAGTAAAGAGTTGCTCATTAGATTCTGCTCCTCTCCACAATATATATATTAAAAAAAAGGATAAATGACAATTTAACAACTTTTAACACAGCTGAGCTTCATTTAGGAGTTTCTTAAGCTTTCATTCTCTTAGCCAAACCTAACAAACAGTTGCGTGACAGTTTCATAGAATCATTATGGTTGGAAAAGACTACTAGGATCATCTAGTCCACGGGTGTCCAAAGTTTTGGCTTGTCTGTGCTGCACTGAGTGAAGAGGAATTGTCTCAGGCTGCATAGACATTGGTCACTCCAACAGTAATTTCTTCTGTTTATTTTCATGGAAACTACAACAGAGTGACCACACCAGCTCTTTTTGATAGAGCAGATTCTGTGCTACAAAACACTTTTTCAGCACAGTCACAACCATTAGCTCTACATTTTCACCAGTGATGAACAAGAGCCTGCATGCCTTGCTTATAAAAGTCTGCACCTACTGTTGCTGCTGGCCCTGCTGAAACACTCCACCCACTGCTTCACTGTGCTCACAAACAACTCCAGAATTACAAAGGTTGGAAAAGATGTTTAAGATCATCCAGTGCAACCATGCACCTATCACCAATATTTCCCACTAAACCATGTCCCTAAGTACAACCTCTAAATGTTTCTTGGACACCACCAGGGTTAGTGATTCCATCACCTCCCTGGGCAGCCCATTCCAGTGCCTGACCACATCCACAGTTTCATCTCCATCAACACTGATAAAGTGTCAATGAATGTCAGCAGGTGCTATTTTTTCTGCATGGAAGAATTCAGTGACAGACCTTTGCTTCATATGCACTTCCATGTCAGATAGCATTGTGTCAGACAGTATTGCTGTTACCTGGAGAAAGAGGCCAACCCTCACCTTGCCACAGCCTTCTTTCAGGTGGTTATAGAGAGCAATAACGTCTCTCCCGAGCCTCTTTTCCTCCAGACTGAACAATCTCAGTTCCCTCAGCTCCTCATAAGACTAGTGCTACAGACCCCTCACAGGGGTTACCATTCTCTGGACATGCTCCAGGGCCTCCATGTCTTTCTTGCAGTGAGCAGCCCAAAACACAGCACTCAAGGTACAGCCTCACCAGAGGTGAGTGCAGGGAGACAATCACCTCTCTGATACTGCTCACTATATGATTTCTGATACGAGCCAGGATGCCATTGGCCCTTTTGGCCACTTGGGCACACTTGGCTCATGTTCAGCCAAGCATCGAATAATACTTCCAGGTCCGTTCCCTCTACACAGCCTTCCAGCCACTCTGCCCCAAGCCTGTAGCGTTGCCTGGGGGTTGAAGCTAACGTGCGGGACCCGGCACTTGGTCTTGCTGAACCTCATCCCATTGGCTTTAGCCCAGCTATCCAGCCTGTCCAGATCCCCCTGTAGGGCTTTGCTACACTCAGGCAGATCGACACTTCCTGCCAGCTTGGTATCATCTGCAAACTTACTGAGGGTGCACTCAATGCCCTCCTGCAGGTCATCATTAAAGGTACTGAACAGGACAAGCCCCTGTGGGAGCACTGTTTGTGACCAGAGGCTAGCTGGATTTAACTGCATTCACCACCACTCTTTGGGCCTGGCCATCCAGCCAGTTCTTAACCCAGCAATGAGAGTATCTGTCCAAGCCCCCAGCTGCCATCTGCTCTGGAAGAATACTGTGGGAAACTTTGCTGAAGCCCAGATGGACTACCATCAACATCAACAGCCTTTTCCTCATCCACCAGGAGGGTCACTCAATCATAGAAGGAGATGAGGACGGTTAAGCAGGACCAGCCTTTTGTGACATGCTGGCTGGGCCTGAGCCCCTGGCTGTCCTGCACTTGTCACACAATCACTCAAGAAGATGTACTCCATGACCCTACCTGGTACTGAAGTCTGGCTGGCAGACCTGCAGTTCCCTGGATCCTCCTGATCCTTCTTAGATGGGTGTTACACATGTAAGTCTCCAGATGTCTAAGACTTCTCTGGTTGATCAGTACTGCGTAAGATATACAAAGGCTATTCCAGATCAAACATTTACCTGAAATTACATATTGAAATTTGCACACTGAACATCTACATACATTTAGAAATACAAGTGAATTTACTTTTAAGTTTGTATAAATGTATATACAATCTCTCCGTGAAACTTATGAAAACAAACTACTACCATATGCAACTGTTGAGGTAAAAGAGACCCTTAAAGCAAAAAAATAAAAAAAAATTAAAAAAAATAGAATCTAGAAGAGATAGAGCTTTCAAAGAATTCTAAATCAGAAAAATTGATAGAGTATCCTTAACTGCTTTTTGGGGGCCAGCAGAAGGAAAACTGCTGGTTTCAGACCGCCATGATGCAGCTATACCTTCGAAGAACACAAACTCCACCTAGTGGTGGTTTTGCTGATGAAGTTTTAGAAAACCTGAAATTCTGAAGCATGATCTGTTAGGGCTGTGAAATCAATGAATAAATATTTAAATTATCTTTGGGAAAGTAACAGACTATATAGAAATACACTACAAGAATTTCTACAACTTTCTCGCTATTGTTCAGTCAACAAATGCCTTTTAATAATAAAAATGTTTTTATCCTGACTATGAGCTTGTTGAAGATTTAAATTAATACACATATACATGTCATCTGTTTTATTTGTTTAATCTTTTTTATTACCAAGGAAAAAACGTTAAAAAAGGATATTTGAATAGATTAATCTGCTCCTGCTTTTTCCTAAGCAAACTGGATCATCTGGTGAGGACCAAGTAAATGTGAGAGTCCCTTAAACTAACTTCGGTGTACATGAGTTTAGACTCCATTACATAACCTTCAGTAGCATCAGATGTAACAGTAATTACCTCTCTAAAGTAACATTTTCCACTAAAATAGTTCACATTTAAAAGAAGAAATTGTCCTTATGGTAATAATTTGTGATTGAATTTTTCCCCCTAAAAAGTAACTGAAGTTCATTTAAATTTGTGAAGATACCGTTTGGTCTGTTTCTCCTTTTCCAATTCTTTAACATTCACAACAGCATCCAAGCAGAACAGACACAAAATGTGCATTCAAGAAAATAAGAAAAATATGTAAATAGAGTGAACACTGGGAAAAGGCTCATGTAAAGTTCACTGCAGAACTTAAGAGGAAAATAACAGATCAAAATAAAAGGATCTTAAGTAACTCTGATAAAGATGACCAAATCATCCAGGTTTTTAGTGTGATGCTTTGTGTAGCAGAAAGGACCCCATGAAAGCATCTGGACACCTGACGTACTTACAGGAACTCTTCAGCTGCATCAACTTTCCAGCTAAATAAAACTCCTGACACTTACAATTCTGTTATATACAGTTTAAGCAACTTTGGAACTAGTAAAAAAAAAAACAACAACAAAAAAACAACTCATTATCCAAAAGCAAACATGGCCAAAGGCATAATATATTTGTATTTCACCAAAAAATATATATATATATTCTGACTAGCACTCAGTTTAGTTTAGCATTAATCCTTTACTTTTTTTTTTCCTAGCTTATGCATAAAACCTATGCGTGTTTGAGTAAGGGGCAAGCAGATACTGGATCAGATTCATCACAGTAAGGGTTACATTTCTTATTTATCTAACAACATTCAGAAATTTAATTCCTTGTAGAGGGAGTCCTGGTAACCAGATTAGTGGGGTTGTGACTTTTCCTTCTTGGACTAATTAAAAGAAACCATCCTACTCATCCATGTCATACTATGGATGTTTGAAGACTACACAACTGGAATCCAATTAGAATTACAACACGGACACCCACTTCTTATCTTGCCTGACTCTGTGAGGAGAGAGTCCTGTCATCTTATGTTGATTTCAGCAGGAGTAAAGGCATTCTGCAACTGCCAGAGTTGAGAGGTTTCTGTAGTTCCAGGTTTGGCAGGATACTGACTCATGCATTTGTGTCACTATTAGTGGTATAGTTTCCAACTACTGCCATGTTGAAAATCAGGCATGTACTAAATAATTTCCTCCATGAGATCCTCAGTGTTAAATATTTGAGGCATTTATTGCTCTTTTTCTAAGTGAAAACAGAAAAAGGCATATGTATTTCTAAGTAATTGAGCATCCGCTTTACAATGTGAACTTCAATGTTCTTACTCAGTTTGGTAATCTTACATCAAATACTCAGAGTTTTGCAAGAGCATCATAATGCTTAGACTGAAACAGAATAAAGTTATTTAGTAAAAAACATGAAATGCCTGTATCCAACTTCACATAAAAAAATATATTCTGTTTTACAACACAAACAGTTAAGGCCACAGAACTCCAACAAGATTTTGATAAACATCAGTTCCAACTATTAAACTTACCAATAAATACCAAGAAAATGGTCTGCCTGTTTAAAATCACAATTAAATGAATAAAATCAAACCGTCAACAACTCCAGTAACTCATAACTGTTTTCAAGTATAAACTGCACTATGTGCTTTAAGACTGTCACATTCTTACATATTGTCACAGTGTTAGAGTAATACACAAGTAGAAGATTTTATCCTTCCATCCTGGTCAGTCACAGTTTCCTTAGAATTCTCCAATGTATGATTCTGGTTCTCATCTTTGCTGTCTTCACCAGCTAAATCTTCTCTTTCTTTTTCTTGTTCACTCTGGAGTGGCTTTCCAGAAACATCTTCCTTTCTGTTACATACATTCTTCTGGCCTGTCAGTGGTTTTCGTTTAAACAGGGAAAACTGGAGTAAAAAACCAAAACAAAACAAAACAAAAATCACATACATAACATACCCTAAACAGTTAGCTATGAAATTCAAGGTTAAAAAAAAAAATAACCGCAAACTGAAAGCCCAGGTAGAGCAAAGAAAGGCAAAAGCTCACTTGATCTTGATTTTCAATGAAAGTGGGGCCTCAAAATCCTTCTTTTTGGGCTTTAAGAATAAATACACAGTCTGAAAATCAGGGCATGCTGGAAATAGATACAAAGTCTAGCTGATCTGCTGTTTTCAGAGGGACACATGGTGGGAAAATTGTTTAGCTAATCGCTTGTAAGAATAAACTCTTAAGTTGTCACCTCCAAAAAACCTGATGTGACAAGCTGCCTGTCTCTTATGGACAAGCTATACAGAGTCAGGTGGTAACGGGCTTTATCTCATCTCTATGGACAGACGTACTAAGATCTATTTTAATAGAGCATATTTTTTTCTAGTCATATTAACCCTTACCAATACATACTAGACATTTACTCTTCAGAAGTACTCACTAGGCTCATTAAAGCAGTGTATGAGAATTTGCAGACCAGCTTATACACTTGCCTTTAGAAGAAACCAAACTAACCTAACCATCAGCTGCATGCACAAAACACTAATTTCTGATAAATAAATACATAAATAACTGAAACTCATTAAATAGTCTTTTTTAATCAGAGGATTTCTGATATGAGAAGGTCAAGCATCACATACTTATTCTTTAAGAGCAAGAGAAATAACTCTGATGATAAAAATATTTTTGAAACATCAGAAGTATAGAGATATTACTTACTTTCAAGCTAATTATAGGAATATTTTATTTTTATTTACTTGCTGTTCTTTCCATCACAAAGTTTACCACTGTGTGTGTCTTAGAAGACTCTCTATTAAAAGCTCCATTAGAGCACGATGTATGAATAGAAGAAATATTTCAAGTCAAGGATATACACCGTACTTACATTTTTAGCATAACAGGAGTTAGTCACAAAACTGCCTCTCAACTTTTTATAATTCCACAAAGAACAATTTTTACTGCAGTAACACAATACCTAAGACAGTTACTCACGCTCTGTGTTTTTCATGAAGCATATACTAGCTTCGTGACTTCCATTTACATGTCCTATTATGAAATGTAACCTATTTTCAGCCTAATGTTATTTCTCCCTCATATAAGCTGGTATAAAACCAAAAGATATCACAAATATATAAATGACAAGTAAGAGCGCTCAAGATTTATGTGATTATTTTTAACAATCTTACCTTTGGACTATAATTGTAGTGTCACTTCCCAGGTATAATGATAGTAACTATTAAATCCTGTTAAATTACAGATAATGTCTATTTTTATCTGTTTACTTAAATCTATTATCTGCCTACAGTGTTATACTCCCGAATCAGATCCAACAAACCGGTATGGGAACTGTTGAGTCACGGCCTGAACCAATGATTTTTCACCTGGCAAGAAATGAGTCAGCTCTAGGAGCACAGGTGAAGGCAATTCACCTGTGTGACCAGAAGGGGTGGACACTTAAGACACTCCTAGACACTTAAGGGCTGACTGCCACTAGGGATAGATTTCTTTCTGGAGTTTTCTACCATGAACCTAGGATATGGGTAAGCATTCTTCCTTGATTGTTTTTTTTTTTCTACCATGATAATCTTTCCAACTATAACACCTGTAATATATCACCCTAACCACACTACTCTTCCAACTGTACATTACCTTACAAAGTCATAGTTTTGCCACAGTTGGCCACATTATCTATGGAGTTATGTAACTGTTATGGTAATCTCCCATAATTCTGCAATGCAGTTCCTCTAAGTTTGTAATTACTCACAGCTTTCAATATGAATATCTTCTCTTCTTCCACTGACTGTACCTATCTGTCATCTTCAGTTTGGAGTTAAAGAGCTAGGAAATATGTGGCACATAGAAGGCTATAAGACCCTCTATAACTTTAAAGGCAAGGAGAAGAACAATAAAAAAACACATCAACCTGCATGTCTGACAGCCTCTATTGGAAAATGCTGATATGTTTAATATATGTAAGGATAGACAACAGCAGATAGAGAAGCTTTAAACCAGTTTTGGATAATCCCAGAAGAGTAGAGGTCACAATCCAGTAATAACGAAGGAACTGCTTACGCCTTTCCAAGGATCAGAACTCACCAAACACTCCAAAGGAGGCAGTCTATAAGCAGAGATTCTTCCCTTGCAGCTGCCAGCCCTTAAATGAGATTAAAGAGGGATAAAGCCAGGGTCCACCCCTTCTGGTCACACAGGTGAATTGCTTCCACCAGTGCTCCCAGGACTGACTACACCCCTTTAGCATGTGCTCAATCACTGGTTCAGGCTGTGACCTAACGGTTACTATACAATATGCAAGCTTCCAAATTCTCTCATTTTGATCTATGGACAGTGCATAATAACCAGCTTTTCCACAAAAAGCAACACATACAGGGATATCATGAAATGAAATCAAATTTTAAACAGAAATAACAGGCTGCTCAGCAGTTTAATTGTTTATTGCGGTTCAGGTAAATTTGGTTGTTCGCTTCAGCTCAGTAACTGCCCAGCACCTTCCTGTTCACTGCTGAAACGAAAAATCAGACTACATACCTTTTTTCTCCCAACTGTTCCTTCAGCTATTTGGTCCTCAGTGTTCTCTGAAGAATCATTCACAGTGTGATTGTCAGTAATTTCTTTCTCTACGATAACATAAACCTTTAAATTAACTTCCTTCTGATTCTCAGAAATTAAGAGCAGAGAAAAGCATTATTCAAATGATTTCTGAAGTGAAAGTCACTAAATACAATGTAGATCTTAAGCAATCAGAATCTTCAATTCAACACAATGCCCAGCTTCTCTACACTTCTCTACACAGTAGCCTTGTATTATTCTCCAAATGCTTGATTTTCAGGAAATGAACGCACATGGCAGTAACATGATGTAAAATGTTTTGACTTGGACACTCATAGTTTCCTCTTGTGGACAGAAGACAATGTTTTGTAAACAGATTTTTAAAATATAATCTAATTTAGAAATTCTGACTTTAAAAGCAAGAATTATTATCCAGCATTAATCTTTATTCCATAGAATTTCCTGGTAAAGGGAAAGCTTTCCATCTCAGTCAATGTTCCTGTGTTTAAATTTTCCCATACTCCCTGCATGAATGATATAAAACAACTTCATATCAAAACCTCCACATCACTGGATGATGGAAAAATGTTTAATCATCCATTCCACACAAACTATGGCAATTATAATAATGAAGATAAATAGCATAGCTTCATAATTAAAGCAAGTGGTCTTTTTTATACCATGCTTGTTTTTTCTCTTTTGAAAGAGCAATCATAGATCATTCTAGAATGTCTGAAATAAAGGAAGCACTTTTGACTTGCAAATATGGCACTCAACTTCACACTCACAGATTTTCTAAAGGAGTATCTGTCATCAGTACACTCAGACCATCTTCAAGACTGTAAGCAACATCTAGACTCACATCTTTAGCATCTTCGAATAGTGCTCAGTAATTACCACATTTCATGGAATATAGTCTGTTGTGAACATAATGAGGGAACTTCAGTTGACAGGGAAGGAAACAACTGACAAGTTTTTCTGCTGAAGAAACACGGCACCTAAAGAAGTTGCTTGAGAAATAATACAATTGCTATCACTTTGTCACCTTAAAACTAGAAATGCTCATTTTAAGGAAGATAATCTTGCTAAGAGAAAGTCTATTTTTCTGGGCATCCTCCAAAATATAACTGTAAAAAGTGTTTTTTAGTTCCAACACATTAACAATTAGTAATAATTTTTCCCTCTCAAATTTCATTCTCTCAATAACTGCTTTACCAATCACTGATGGTATACTATATTGTTAGTATATCGATAATATAACTATATTGTTCAGTATTTTTATAATAGAGATTTTTTAGAAATCTTTCAAAATGTTTCATTCATTTTAGAATGTATGTAATGGTCCAATTCTCAGGAATTGTATTCTTACCCTGATGAATGATGGTCTCTTTCTGAGTAGTCTCTTCTGTCTATAGAGACAAAACAATGAAATTTCTACTTTCAAACTTGCTAAAAAATAAATTGTTTAACTATAAACACCTACATATGTATTTTTCCCTCTATCAAAACCACCCAAAAAAACAACTTTGCTTTTCCAAGCCAACTACACATATATTGAAACTAATGCAAGTTATAGAACACCGAATTGCACCATAGAAAATAACTTAAAAGGAGTAAAAGCTTTTACCTCTACAGTTTCCACTGTGCTATTATCATCTTTTTCTCCCTCAGGTGTTTTACTATGGCATTTCTCTTCCTCATGTTTTTCCTCCATTTCCTCTTTGACTGTTTCTTCTGCTTCTGTTTCTCCATCTTCTCCCTCTTCTTCTTCTTCTTGTTCCTCTTCTTCTTCTTCGACCGCCTCTTCTTCCACATCTTCTACTGCTGCTGCTGCTACTTCATCTTCATCATCATCATCTGTTTCTTCATCTCCAGACAAGTTCTGTTCCTTTGACAAGATGGCCAGAAAGTAATTTTGAAATGCATGCTGCACAGTAATATCAGAGTCAACTTAATTCATCGTACATTATAATTTGACTAAAACCAAGAAAACTCAAATGAAATTGTTCCAAGGTAGATAAAACAAGGTAAAGGCAGATGTCCTTATTTGAGATTTGCTTTTAAATAAGGACTCTCAAAAATCCGACTGTGAGTTAGCTCATGTTAACATTACTGAACCCTTACATTTTGATAGACTAAGTTTAAAGGCTTTCTTGCTGTGTGATCACTGCAGAATGTTTTCTGCTGGTGTTTGGAACAAGGATGAGGAAAATGATAGCAGGTTTCTGGAAGGATGTGAACATTTCTTTTGTTTTTATTTTTCTCTTTTCTGAGAAAATTATGAAGCTAAACATGCCAAACTCTTCATGCGCTCAATTCTTCAGTAATATTTCTATGAAGAAAAGGAAACGTTTCTGTGATGGAAAGCAAAAGCAAATACCATCTCTCTAGGAGCTGAAAATGGTTATTTATCCCACTTTACAAGCACATGTAATTATCTCTAGCTGTGCTGATGCAGGGATACTGGTCCAGCAATCAACAAGAAAAATACTGATGTTACATAGAGCATAGGCACTGTGGTAAGCAGAATCATGTGGACATGTTCTGTACACTTAAATGAAAAAGCAGAGCATAATCATCCATAGCATCCATTTTAACGTAGAGTACTTCAGAAACTGAACACAAAGATCCTACAATAGCCTTATAGAACATAAAAGGGTAATGTATAACACCTATGCTTACAAAAATCACTGCTCTTTTACAGATGCAGAATGTTTGAACTTCACTGGATGACTCCACAGGTACACAGCAGGTTTGGCTCCTATCATAAAAACATTTCCCATAAGCCTAAAAACAAAGCTATCTAAATCTAGGAGTCTACATAGGAGACACACATAAGCTGTCAATGTCATCAGCAGATTGATAAGCACCACTCAGATACCATATGAATTTAAGACATCCTAACATGGGATTTACAGAGACCAGTATCATTCTAGATTCCAATTCACATCCACATAGGATATCCTGTAACACCTGATGTGGCACAAATTGTGTTTGTGTAACTGAGTAAATGCTCCTAGACAAAGCAACCAGTGGAGCTAAAAGAAGGTGCTGCCTACTGTTGTTAAATTGAACAATTTTTCTGACTGACCAGATTTCCACTTGCAGCTTGGCAGAGGTGTCTCTGGATAACACCTTATCTGTTCAACTTCTAAAATAAGCCTTTTTGAATGACAACTCTGATAGCACACTTTACTACTGTCACTTTCACATGCCCATTACAGGCATGTTTTGGAGAGTTTTTACCAATGGTAGTGAAGAACAGATGAGAATGCCATACTACAGATATTCTTCTTACTTGAAAAGATGAATAATCAGTTTATTAAAAATCATCTCTGAATAATGTGGTGCTACTAATTAAAGCAGGTGTTTAACTCAGTAAAAGCTCTGCATTACTCTCCATCATCATGTGCTGGAGGTTACTTTCTTATTCCACTTTATATTCCCTACTCATAGAAAGGTAATGCTGTAAGAATAACTTCAATAGTTTTACCTCTAAAGTTGATAACAGAAAATCTGACTCGGCCAATGACACATACAGCAAGTCAACAGTAGCAAAGAACATAAAAGAAAAGATTTGAAATGGTTTTCACTTAAGCCTGAGATTCCAGTTTCTTCAAGGTTGGTACCAGGAAACAACTTTTCATGTACCACTTCTCACCTGCTGTCATGAAAAACCATCTCAGTGAAGCATGAAGACGTGTCATGGTAGACCTTGCTCAAATGACTGCAGGGAACCAGGTTTCTCTATATGGACTTAACTGTTTCATTATCAATCCATCCTGCATAACTTATGGAAACTCCATAATTTGCATTTCAGAAGGGAAAGCTTATGGATTCTCTCCAAGCCTCTCTCCAAGAAGTCAAAATATTTTTTGTTTGCCACCACCAGTTTATGTTGCTAGGGAAGAAAATAGCAAAACCACTGACAATTTATGTCTTCTCAGATCTTCTAAAATCTTGCGAAAACTCAGTGATGAAGAGAAATCTGTAATTTCTATGTGTACCATTTTGAAACAGAGTTCTGGGAAGTTCAGGTTTACAGAAAATGCATTTTTGTTTCTGTTTGCCTTGGAAAATGTTAATAATCCATAGAGATTATTAAAGACAGCTGGAAATAAGACAGTTAGCCACATGCTTCTTCCTTGGCTACCTTCTCCCAAGTAGCCACAAATTTGCAATTGCTTAGCGGAACTTTTAATCACATAAAGAACAGATTCCTTCCATTACCAGTACAGCCTGTTACCTTTAGATACCCCAAATCTCTCCTACATGCATGTGGCTGCTTACATGCCTATACAATAACTGAACTGAATACACACTTAGTAGAAGTTTCACTATGAAGTAGAAGACACGTAGTTGATTGGTGTCATCTCTACTGAGGTTGACCTATGGGCAACAGCACATAATGCTATCAGATGGGAGTGAACAATGCTCCCTTTGTAGAACACTGGTAAAAACAACCACAAAATACATCCTACAGACCATACTTCTTTTTTGATAAAGGATTTAAGATGAACCATAACTTCCAAAAATCCTCATTTTAATCCCCAAAACACTAGCACAAGTCACAAGCACAATGTCTGAATTGTCTATGAAGGAAAAATATACTGCTATCATTTTATTAATACAGCATTTAAAGTAACAACATTAACCATTAATTTACATACAGATGAGAGAAGACAATAAATTAGCTCTATTTATCCCTTGTGGGTTAGAAAAATATGAACGGGTAGGCATATAACATTTTGCCGATACATTCTTTTAATGATGTCAAGTTATTTAATGTGAAGTGACTGGAAATTCTGCCTTACAAAAGTCTTAGTAAGGCTAAAACACATACCTTGTAGTTGCTTAAAGGTTACAATGAAAGCTTAACATCATTTCATTAGGATTTTGAACTGGATTTCCATTTTATAGCTATTAATCTAGAGAAGTTAGCTCAGTTATTCTAACCCTCAGACAAATGTCTTCCACCTTAACAATTACTAATGAAAAAGCTGAACAGTTTGATAACTGACAAAATTCAAATATACAAGTACTCAGATGTAATCAAAAGTACTCAAATGAAACATTTAAAAGCTTATTCTTTTACTTACAAGCAGTGAAGTAGTCAACAAACTTTCAAGTTTATTTTAGATATCCAACTTAAAATATTCACTACAAAAATAATTTAAATGGATTTACCTAAAGGATACTCCTTCCATCAAGTCAGAACAAATTTTTATTATTTGTTTCCCAAGATTAGTCAGCATCTGAAATAGCTCAAATAGCTTTCATACACAAAACTGTATCTTCTTCCAGAGGTCTACTTTATTTGGAAAGTAAATAATACAAATTTCCAAATGAAAAGGAAAAAAAAAAAACAACCCTTCACAGACATAGAATGATTTCTTAAGCTGTTTGTGAAGAATTGCAAAACAAATAGAAAACTATTTACATCAAATATAAACTCTTATAAGCCATTATACAAAAATACCCTTTAATGTTTAATCACTTAGAAAAAGCATACCAAAATAAATCATGGACACTTAAGCAAAACAGGCGAATTATAATGAGCAGTTTCAAATAAAAATATATTTTAATGATTTTAAAAATTACAAAAAATTGTGTGTTTGGAAGGTAATGTGCTACATAAAAAAAAAATAAATTCTTAATGCTAGAAGACTTAAGAGGAAAACTAACTTGGGAATATTGGCCCATATGTGGATGCAGTTTCTGCATATTTTCCAAATTCTTACAGAAAAAGGCTCTAGTACCTGGAGTTGGTCATACACCTCCCACTTACGTGCAATGAATTTGGACAGTCACTGGTTTCTGCTTTTATTGTGTCATACAGCTTAGAGTACTTCATACCTCTCCAAAATACTGTGCTTTTTGTTGGAATTCTGCCTTAATAATGCTGATTATTATTCAGCACTTTTGTAAAAATATGGGCAAAGACAAATTTTTATCAATAATATTATTGCATACAGAAAGGTTTTATAAGTTTCTGTTCTCCATACATTCCTGAAGAGGATGCCCTATGAGTCACTATTGAAGTTTCTGCAAGTCTGAGTCTCTCCAGCGAGATCCACCATTTCAAAATACTCTGATATAAAACCAATTTCTGAACAAGCATTAGCAGTCTTTAAGCCCATTCTCATCTTGCAGTTTTTGGGTAGATTTTTTAAGGCACACCCAAGCTTGTAACAAAAGTCCCACTGATTTCCACATGGACATCATGTCATACTGGTGTTTTTGAAAGCTATTGGAAGGCCTGCTCTAAAACAGAGCTTAACTTCTTTCTGTACACTTCATACAGGACATATTCAAGTTTGTCTTTTTTTTCCCCTGAGAAATGACAATGAAGTGTCCAATAAAACAGATTAAATATTGCAGCATTACTGCTGCTGTGTTTCTAATTACAAGAGGCATTCTGTGACCTGGCTAGACACTGGATAAAATGAAAGTATTTTAGGCTCCCTTTTAAGAAATCCAGTTTCTCCTAGGGTGGCTTACAATCCCAAATTTGTATTAGATTGAGGACTCTTGCTGAGTTTCCAGTTGAACAGCACATCATTGGTACAAAGAAAGTAGGAAATATTGCTCTTCAGCACTACTGTGATCTAGGTATAGGAGCAGATAAAAGCTTTGTTTAATATAAAATTCTAATTGCAGCTAACTTTCTTTAGCCCTCTCTCACACTCTCAATATGCAACCACAATTACTTTACATTTCACACAAACCACAAATGCAATTCTGTGTGAAAGGAGGGGTACTTTACAAGTTATAAAGCTCTGAACCCAGAACATTAAACGCAGGATACTCTATCAGACTGCCCTGCAACTGACCCACCATCCAGAGACAGAAAAAGCACAGTCCATGTCTGATGTTCCAATGTTGAGA